TACTGCAATAGCCATGGTTTCCCTTTCATTTGTTAATGAAGTGAGTGATATTTTTAATCTTGTAATTTACTGTACTCATTGTTCAAGTGGTCTTTCTGGGTGGTCTCTTCTCATAAATGGTTCTGTGTTGTACTTCTGTCTGGTTTGGGAGTCAGAATTTTAAAAATGCACTGGGTTTCTGCTTTTTCCTTTATCATGGAAGGTTAGACTAATTCACTTTTTTGGTGGAATTCATCAAGAAACAATCCTTTTGGTTGTTGTTTTCTTTATGGAAAGATTAAAATTTCTTTTAAGAATTATTACATTTTGCCAGGCGTGGTGATGCATGCCCTTAATTCCAGTACTCCAGAGACAGAGGCAGGCCTCTTGTGAATTGGAGGCCAGCCTGGTCTATATGGTGAGTTCCAGGACAACAGCCAGGACTACATAGAGAAACCTTGTCTCAAAAAACAAAACAAAAACCCCAAAATAGCCAGGTGCTGGTGCATCTCTTTAATCCCAGTGCTTGGGAGGCAGAGGTAGGTCAATCTCTGTGAGTTCAAGGTAGCCTAGTTTACAGAGTAAGTTCCAGGACATCCAAGGCTGCACAAAGAAACCCTGTCTTGAAAAACAGCAGCAACAACAAAACAAAAAACAAAGCAAAACAAAAAACAAACCCAAAATAAATAAATAAGGACCCTTAGGGTTCTTTAAAGAAAACAGAATGGGTGTTGAGCTGGGGTTGGCACAGGCCTTGCTCCTGAGTGCCATTGGAAAAGGTAGCCAGATGGGGGTGGGGATGGAGGAAGAAAGAGAGATAATTGAAATATATAGCTCTTCTCTTAGGGAAATCAAGGACAAATTGAGGAGTCCAGAGTGATCCTGGGAAATGGAGACCAGGGCCACTGCCATGTGAGCATTGGAGACAATTAGTGCTATCAAGAGGCTTGAGAAGTTGTTTATATATTACATTTTTGTTTACATATTTTTTGTGCATATATGTGAATGTGTGTAGTACATGAGTGCCACTGTGTGTGTATGTGAGGGTCAGCAGGCAGCTTGTTAGAATTGGTTCTCTCCTTTTACTGTGCGGGTCTCGAGGATTGAACTCAGGTCAGCAGAGTCGGTTTCCCCAGGCCAAGATTTGAAACTTATAACCAGCTTCTTTAGAGAATCCAGGCTTCCAGGCTTTCTATTTTTGAGTCACTTTTGATTTTTGGATATACCTATAAAAATATCACACATATATCAGAAAACGATGCAATTGGTGTTACAGTTGTCAGGGAATTTTTCTATTCCATGTGTGTTTCAAGCTTGACATGCACTTATTTCCTTTTTTTGTAGTTTTCCTCCTTGAATTCTCACCATTTTACATTACTCAGTGTAATCATTAACCTTCATTTTACCAAAATCAATCAATCAATCAATCAATCAAATAGGAAAATGGAGGGCTGGGGTTGTGGCTCAGTGGATGGCGTGACTACCTGATGTGAAGGAGACCCTGGGTTAGAGAACAAGCCTGACGTGCATAGGGCATGGTTAGTCCCTCCATGTGAAAACAGTGCAGTGGAGTAGAAATGCTCACACCAAGCCACCAGGAAGCAGACGTGTTGATTGCCTGTCCTGGCTTCCTCTTTCTTCCCTACCCACCAGGGCCCTAGCCGGTCTCACTCTGTCCCACCCCCAGCACTGGGGTTACAGACACAGGCTGCCCTGCCTGATTTCTTATGTGAGCAGCTGGAGACCATGCCTCTATGGAAGGCTCTTAGCCATGGAGCCATCTCCCCAGGCCCTGGGTATCAATGAACCTGCGAGTGGGTGAGCAACTTGGTCCTTGGGGCAGAGCTTGGGATGGTATAGAAGTGCTTCTCAGATCCCATAGCTAAGGGAATGGGGACTGGCTTCTCTGAGCCCAGGAAAGCAGGTCACAACATATGACCCTATCCTTTCCCAGTGATCTCATCTGTAGAATACCTTGCATTGTTCTTGGCCTCATCTGTAAGATGCCTGGATTTAGCTTTGGCTTCACATCAGGGTTTTAGCTAGGTTTTTGGTCATCAGAAACTGACTGCACCTACGTGCCTGCTGATCAGGATCTGTGGGATAATCTCCTGTCACACTTTTTTGGTTCTCTTTCTAACTGGTGATCACTTTGTGAGCCATTGACTCTGTGTCTACAGCAAACCCCTGAGCTCCCAGTCTCCTTGATGCTCTTAGTTCTTTTAACCAGCAGAAGTTCTTTGTGTGTGCATGTGTTATGTATGTGTGTGAGTGTACTTGTGTATGTATACATGTATGTGTATATTTGTGAGTGTGTGTGTGTGTATGTATGTATGTATGTATGTATGTATGTATATGTATGCATTTGGATGCCAGAAGTTGACATCAGCTGTCTTCTTCAGTTACTCATCACCTGAGACAGGGTCTCTCACTGACCCTGTAGTTCACACTAGGCTAGACTCTTTAGCCAGTGAGCTGCCAGGGATCCTGTTGTCTTTGCCTCCCCAGCACTGGGATTGCCTGCCAACATGCCTGGATTTCTTTTATATGAGTGCTGGGGATTGAACTCAGGTCCACATGGTTTGTGTAGCAAGTGCTTTGCTGGCAGAGCCATTTCTCCAGTCCCAGTAATCTTTCTTGAAGTCTTGCATTTCCCCACCTTGTGTAGTTGTGGCTGCTCCTTGGAACTGACTGGCTTTTCAGGCTGGGCCAGTGTCTTAGGATGGAGAAGGACTAAGTGTTCAGTCAGCCAACTGCCCTGGCTTTTGGGGACTCAGGGACTCCCTTTCCTGGAAACAAAGCCAGCAATTGCTGTGGGTGGTACTGCCTGGGGCCAGGCTCTGGGTGCCCCTCACGAGCTGTCTTATTATTTAACACTTACATTGGCATGTTGAGCAGTGTCAGTTTTCACTTCATTTGACCCGTGAAAGTGGAAGTTTAGGCAGGCTAAGTAGCATTCCAAGGTCAAATGCTGAGCTGGGATTTGATCTGAGATCTGCCTGACTCCAGAGCCTTCTGTCAGTCTCCGCCCACACTGTACTGCAGCCCCCAGGGAGGATGTTTCCATAAAACACAAAGAGCCCTTCATGGTGAGACGGGAAGCGCCCTTCCTTCCATTCATCTCTTGAATATTTCACAGGCACGCCGACATGCTGGAAGCCCTGCGCGGTCCCACTGGGAGTAAACCCACGTTTACAACAGAATTGCACCTTTAAGCACAGATCTCTCCTCTATCTAATTTGTGTGTTTCTGTGTGTATGTTCATTCACATGTATATATGTGTTCATGTGTGCAAGTACATGTATGTGTGTGTTTGTGTGTGGGCATACATCTCTCTCTCTCTCTCTCTGTCTCTCTCTCTCTCTCTCTCTCTCTCTCTCTCTCTGTGTGTGTGTGTGTGTGTGTGTGTGTATGTGTGTATGTGTGTGTGTGCATGCAGCCACAAGTTTTGAGGCTCACGTCGAGTCCAGAGGTTTTGGGAGGTCTGTTTCTCCATCTTGTGAGATGGGTTTCTCTGAACTGGGAGCTGCTAGATTCAGCTAGACTGGCTGGGCAGCAACCCCCCAGGACACATCTGTTTCTGCTTTCCAGGTGTTGGGGTTAAAGGTGTCTGCCACTGTGCCCAGCTCTTTACTTGGGTGCTAGGGATCTGAACTCAGGTCCTCATGCTTGCACAAGGAGCACTTTGACTACTCAGCTGTCTTGAGTTCTTACTATACTAGCCACTCTGATGTGAGTCCTATCTTGCCTCTTTGGACCCCAGCTTCCCCATCTGTAAGGTTAAGGGCATGGGGGCATCTGACCGAGTGATGAACTAGAAACTGTGTAGTTCTCTAGCTCTAACTGACCAGAACTCAGGATCAAATACAGGAGATAGTTCTCTGTTAACTGGACACTTTTTAGGACTGGAGCTGCTGAGAGGAGAACAGCAAAGCAGGAAGATTCTGCCGTGGCCTTGAGTTCCTACCCAGAGGCAGTTTTTAAACCTTGGCATAGGAAGCTGAGGGGGCAATCTCCCTGATCCGTCTGGGGTCTGGAGAAGTGGCCTGCATTCATCTCTGTGAGTCACTAAATAGGAACATGGGCCTGCACTGGAGAAGGCCTCTAGGGGATCATTTTGGCTGAGCCTTGGAGGATAGGTGTCAGTTCTCCCGGCATAAAGGACAGGGGAGGAAGGATATTGAGGCAGAGGGAACAGCCATGTGGCAGGCCCTGGCAAAGGAAGAACAGGCACCCACCAGAGATCCCTTCACAGTCCCTGCCAGATCAGACCAGAAATGTGAAGGACAGGTCTCCAGTCATCCATGCAGCCTTTTCTGAGAGAAGATAGGAGCCAGACAGTGAGTGAGGCTTCCCGGTAGGAGAAACCATGGCTGCTTTCCCCAGTCTCAGACCTGATCTCCGGAACCAGGGTGGGATGTCCTTGGGGATGCTGATTCTAAGAGCTGGAGAGAGGGTGTGTCTGTCTGGCAGGGTCTGGGGTCCCCGGGGCCCCCTTGTCTGGGCCACCACACTGGTTGACAATGGGAATGCTGGCACAGGAGAAACACTCTATTCAGGTGCCTGGCATTGTCGGTGGAGGGGGCGGCTGTGCAAGCTAATTTTGCTCTGCTCATCTTTGAATGGGGGTAATTGCTGGGAGTTGCCAATGCTCCAGATTGTTCCCTGGAAGAGGAGGGCATGTCCAGGACCCTGCTAATGCTGCCTGTGCAGGTTGAGCAGCAAAACCTGGCAGGGTGGTGTGAAGATGTCACAGGATCACAGGGTGATACAGCCACGAGGACCCTAGGGGTCACTTCAGTTGACCCACTTATTTTGTAGATGGGAAACCAGAGACACTGAAGGGCGAGGCTTGCAGGGCCTCATGCAGGGTAGCCTTGCTAAGCTTGACTCTAAGGAATGATCCGGCCACCCTCCATGTTGGCTGTGCTCCCTGCCTCCACTCTGCTGGAGTTTGTCTAGGGGCTTCCAGGCTGAGTATTCATTTATGTGAGAGGCCTTTTCCCTTCCTCTGGCTACAGGAGACCAGCGAAGCAGTGGGGTCACCGAGGCCAGCAGCCTCCTGGGGGGCTCCCCTCGGCGCCCATGTGGCCGGAAGGGCTCCCCGTATCACACAGGACAGCTGCACCCTGCAGTACGGGTGGCTGACCTCCTGCAACACATCAACCAGATGAAGACGGCAGAGGGCTATGGCTTCAAGCAGGAATATGAGGTGGGCCCGGCCCGTTCTCCTCACTGTGGAACCTCACTTGGCAACTCTCAGTGCAGCCCTGTTGGACCTTTCCTTTGAGAGTCCCCAACTCAGCTTTACCCTTTGACCTTGACTCTGTGCATTCCTTCAAGCTCAGGCTGTCTGGTTTCTCACTCTTCCATTCCATCTCTACTCTGATCATGAGTCTAATCCTGTCTGTGGTTGGAGCCACATCAGTGCTGACCTTGCCCTAACTCTAGTCTGACATTGATTGACCCCTGCCCCTCAGCCTAAGCTCCTTCTGACTGGATCCCAGCTACCATCATCTGGACACCAGCACTACCCTCATTTATGCTTAATCTCACCCTTAATCCTTACCATTTAATCTCTCCTCTCTCCCCAGGGCAAACTCAGGGTTCTGTATCCTAAACTCTGTGAACTCTGACTTCCCTTTGGCTCAGGCTGACTTCCCTTTTCCTTCCTACACGTTCATGTGCCCTGTCCTCGCCCTGCTTTCCTCATTCCCCTGTGGGGAGGGGTCCCAAGAGTCTTGGGGTCTCTCTGTCCCACTGACTACTATCTTCCCATTGGCAGAGCTTCTTTGAAGGCTGGGACGCCACCAAAAAGAAAGACAAGCTCAAGGGCAGCCGGCAGGAGACGGTGTCTGCCTGTGAGTCCCGGGGAAGGGGCTGGGGCTCACAATGACAGGAGGAATGGAGGAAGGAGGTGAATGGCCAGAGTATGCTCTGGGGAGTCTTGTCCTCAGAAACATAAGGGCCCTGGCCTCTGTGTGTGTGGGCACAGTGTCTCACACCATTGCCACTGCCACTGTCCTCTGTCAGGGGAGGCAGCACAGTCCTATCGTCAAGAAGAGGAAACAGAGGTTTGGGAGCTTGAGACCTTGGTTCAAGGTCACACAGCTAATTGCTGCTCATCTTCCTTAACTCCAAAACCCAGATTCAGACCCTTGACCCAGCCTCACAGTGCCCAGAGCGTCCCAGAGTCAGCTCTGAGCCCTCATAAAGATCACCTGGCAGCCATGCCTGGACAATTCCCCTAGCCTCCAAGAGGCCTTCCCCACCTACCAAGCTCCAGGCTCCCTGACACAGTCCTGCTCTGCCACTCTGTTTGCAGATGACCGTCACCGAGTGAAACTGCACCCAATGCTGGGAGACCCGGATGCCGACTACATCTCCGCCAACTACATAGACGTGAGTGCCTGGCCTGGCTCTTTCTGCTTACCTGTCCCTGCCCCCTCCAGGCTCACTGTCCATGCAGGGGGGAAACCTACCAGAGGATAATGGGGGATCTGAATGGCTGAGTTGCAACTCAGAGATGGGGAGCTGAGAGTAGGTGGCAGCCTGCAGGAACACACCCTGAACGATGTGCTGGGGAGGTAGAGCAGGGTCTGGGGACAGACAGGGAGGCCGAGGGAAGCGAGGAGCTGCCTCAGCGAGGGGCCAAGAGCTTGGAGGTGGGAGTCTCATGATTTCCATAGTGAAGATGAAGAGGTTATACAGGGCTAGGTGGTAAAGACCTTGCGTGGCAGGCTAAGGACTCGGGCCGTCTCCCAGGGCCACCAGGAAGTTGTTCAAGTGTTTTGACTTTGATTACAGTGGCCCTTCACATACAGGGAGGCATGTTTACTGAGCACGTACTATGTGCCAGGCAAAGTGATAAGCACTTTACACACAGTCTCAAATTTCATATAACCTTATCACTCCCCTGTGAGGGGAGGAAGCTGGAGCTGAGAGAGGAGAAGCTACTGGCTCTAGGACACACAGCTAGAGTGGTAAAGAAAGGACTCACGACCCGGCCAGGCTGTCTCTGCAGCCTCTGGTGCTGACCATTTGACTGTCCTGACAACTATTAGATCTGGCTGGACGGGAGAGTGGGCCCAAGAGAGGGCAGACTTCCCAGGTGTGGATTGGGGGTGGGGGTGGTGATGAGAACTGGGCAAGGCCCAGGGACTTGACTGCACTCTGCAGCAAGCTGAGCTTGGAAGAGCATCCTTTAATTGTGTAGGAAATGTATTTTGAGCACCTGGGCACCAGGGACAGAGATGAGATCACGTGACCATTGCTCTCTCTCTCTCTCTCTCTCTCTCTCTCTCTCTCTCTCTCTGATACAGAGATTCTAGTATGGGGAAACAGATTAACACTGAAGGAGATTCATTTCAGATTAGCTGGGAAGGCACAGGCAGGAAGAAAAGTGTCACAGAGCTGGTTAGTGGCACAGCCAGGGTTGGCTGTGTAGACTGTGTAGAGGAAGCAGTGTGGCCGCAGAGGAAGGGGAGGGACACTCAGGTAAAAACAGCGAAGGCAAAGGCTCAGGAGGAAGCCACAGTAGCCCAGGGTTAAGGTCATCAGGACCTTTGGAGATGACTCTTCTCTCCCTCTTCCATCTATGTGTGCCACCCTTGTTTCCCAGAACCCTTTGCCTTCTCCCTGCCTCTCATGCTGCTCCTTGCCTGGGGTAAGAGTCAAGCTTGGTCTCACAGGCCTGGGCAGCTTGGAGACAGTGGACTTTCCTCACGGGGTTCCACCTGGTTGGTTTCTCTTGGGCCCTGACAGGGACATGCCTATCCCGCTCTCCACCCAAGTCCTGGCCTCCTGTCTCTGTTCTGCCTGCCAACTCATGTCACCCTTTCTGGCCTCTCCTGTGCCCGGTCCACCTACACCCACTTCTGGCCTAACATCTGTCTCTTTTGCTTTGTTCTGTTCCCTCACTGGAATCATTAAGATTCGGATAAACCGACAAGTAAGTATCTTTTCCCTCTCCTCCTCCTCTACCTCCTCCTCTTCCTCCTTCTCCTCCTCCTTTTCCTGTCTTGTGGAATGGCTGTGTCCTGAGATCTCTCACAGGCTCCGGCTGTCTGTCTGTCTCGCTCTCTCTCTCTCCTTCCTTGTCCTCTCCTAGCACTGAATACCAGCCACCCATTCCAGCAGCCTGCCAGGGGCTGCCACGGCTGAAGACTGTCTCCCCACTGGGAAACATTCCTTCCCACTCTCTGTTCTCTCAACAAGGACAGCTATGTTGGGGTGCTGGTCACTGCTGCCACTTTCATCCCCTGTCTGGCCATTTCCTGTGAGCTTTACCAGCTCTGCCCTTCTGTAGAGCTTCTGGTGTGTAGCGGGGAAGCTGCCCTGAGAGCCCTTTTCTCCGCCATGCCACCAAGAGGCCAAGGCCTCAGACAGGCCTGGGCCAGTCCTCTTTAAGCTCATCTCCCTAGTGTTCAAATCCCTTTGTAGTCAGTTTACTTAAAACCCAACCCAACCCCCATCAATTTGCCCTCCATTTAGCCTCAATTCAAATGTGCTTTTTTTTTTTAAATTAGTTTGAATATCAGTTTAAAAATTGTAAAATCTTTTGCTCTTTGGAGAATTAAACCAAGGGCTGAGGACCACTCAGTTAGTAGAATGCTTGCCAAGCATTCATGAAGCTCCGGGTTTAGACCAAGATTCATACAAAAGCTGAGTGTGGTGGCGCTGGGGAGGCCAAGACAGGTGGATCTCTGAGATGGAGGTCATCCTGGTCTGTCTACAGAGTGAGTTCCAGGACAGCCAGGGCTATGTAGAAAGACCTCATCTCAAAGACAAACAAAGAAATTCAAGGTCATCCTTTGCTACAAAGTAAGTTTGAGGCTAACCTGTCTCAAAATAAGTAAGAGAGAGAGAGAGAGAGAGAGAGAGAGAGAGAGAGAGAGAGAAGAATCCAAACTAATTTAGTCATCCTTTGATTTGATTTTTGTTGTTGTTTGTTTGTTTGTTTTTTGAGACAGGGTTTCCCTGTGTAGCTTTGGAGGCTGTCCTGGAACTAACTCTTGTAGACCAGGGTTGGTCTCAAATTCACAGAGATCTGCCTGCCTTTGCCTTCCGAGTGCTGGGACTTAAAGCATGCGCCACCACCACCCTGCTTTGATTTTTAAAACATGTTATTTTCGTAGTATTTATAATCATTATCATAATTATAATATAAATAATTATATTACTAATATTATAATTAATATATTGATTAATATATTAATTAATAGATAATATATAATTATATATAATAATATTATAATATTATTAATTTGGCTTTTTGAGATGGGGTCTCACTCTGTAGCTAGACTGGCTTGGAACTTACTATGTAGCTGAGGCTGGACTCAAATTCACAGCAATCTTTGTCTCAGCCTCCTGAATGTGAGGATTATATTTCATACTATTTAATGACTGGTATTCTTTGCTATTTTGTGGGTACATTTTCCATTTTATCTTCTTTACAAAAAGATATTTCATTTTTTTTATTATCATTGCTAGGATTCTGTTCATTATCAGACTTCCGGACAACATAGAGAGACTAACATAAGACGTGAGAGGTTCCCCCAGTCACATTTGGCAGAGACAGCCAATTATCTCAGCCGTGCCCCTTATTTTGAGTGCAGTCACACAGTTGGTTTGCAAAATTCTCAAATGAAAAAGGCCCATTAGGCTCACAAAAGACAGTGGATGTGCTGAGTCCTAGCGCCCCCTGTGGGTTGTGATGAATATTGCTCCTTACAGGCCTTAGACTCGCTGGTTCCCTGTGGTTAACCCACTTGCCTTTGAATCTCACCATTTGGTTCCCTCTTGTCAGACTCTTCAGAAATACCCTTAGAAGTCTCACTGGGGTGTAATGCCGCCTCAAATGCCAGTGAACAATTGTGTTGCCGACGGCACCTGCCAGGTACCAGGCATCTAGAATGCGTGAAGGGTCATTTGGCAGGTGAGAATGTTGAGTCTGAGAAAGGTGAAGTGACTTGAGCAAGGCCACAAACCAGCGTTGTCATTCACTGGCCCCCAGCACCACCCCTCAGACTCCAGCAAGGGCGCAGATGTGTGATCCCAGCACCGGCTTGGGGCATGAGCTCTCCAGTGCCACTCCCGGAAGTGGAAGTGTGCAAGGCTATCTGCTCACTTTACTTCAAGATACGATCATTTAAAACTTGTGTTTATGGGGGTTTGGGCATGGGTGAGTTGGTAAATGCTTCCCTTGCAAGTTGAGGACCCAAGTTCAATTCCCAGAACCCGTGTGGGGATTCGTGCTTGTAATCCCAGCACTGGGCAAGTAGAGCCAGGTGGATCTTTTGGGCTGGCTGGCCAGCTTAGCCTTATCGAAAGGTATCAGGCCAAAGAGAGACCCCATCTTCAAGGAGGTAGACAGCTAGCTGTTCTAAGAATAGTACTTGAGGTTGTTGTCTGGTGTCTTCACAACAGGCACCCTGCTGGCATGTGCAATCCTTACCCCCACGCCTACACATGTGTACATCCATACCCGTGTGTGCATGTACACACACACATAGGCATAGAGAAACTTCTATTAGTGTCCTTTGTATGATTGCGCAGTGACATATGTCTTATTTAAGAAGTGAGGGCTGTGAGATGGCTCAGCAGGTAAAACCCTGCTGCTCAGCCTGATGACCAGAGTTTGAGCCCTGGGATCCCACATGGGAGAAGGAGAGAACTGACTCCTGTGGGTTGTCATCTGACACCCTCACATACGCTGCATGTGCGCTCTCCCCCATAATCACACAGTAAATAAAAATGTAATGTTTTTTTTTTAAATGAACATGTAGAAATTTTGAGTTGTGTGCCTGCACACTTGCTTCAAATAGGGCCGTATGGGGCTTGGAGAGCCCCATTCCCAGTGGTTAAGAGCACTGGCTGCTCTCTCAAAGGATCTGAGTTCGATTCCCGACAACCCACAGGTGGCTCGCAACCACTGTAGTTCCAGTTCTAGGGGATCTGATGCCCTCCTCCAGCCTCTGCTGTTCCTGCACGCACATAGCACACATAAACTCATGTAGGCATGCATGCATACACATAAATTATAAAACAAATAAATAAATAAACATTGAAACAAAAACAAATAGGCCTGCATGACAAGGTTGGTTAGGCCATACTTTCTTCAAAATGTAATTTTCCAACAGTGGAAGAATGGGACCCTGGAAAGGACTGGAAACAGTTGCAACAGAGCTGAATTTTAGGTCATCCAATCACTGTGCAATCAATCGGGTTTCCTTCCTTTTTTGTGCTGGGGCTGGGTCCCAGGGTCTCTCCCATGCCTGGCAAGCATTCGACTCTATCAAGCCCAATCAATCTGTTTAGTTGAGTTCAGGTCCTCTGTTACTGACTAATGCTTGAATGCTGGTGTGGAGCCTGGGCCCTGGTGGGGTAAGGGGTGTAGGTGTAGAGTTGGTTGAATCTGATGATGAACCCGTGTTGGGTGGAGCTTAGGCAAACTGATTTTGCTGAGTGCAGCGCACAAGCAGTTCAGGGTAACCTGTTCCCAAGCTTGACTACTTGCTAAGCGGAGTTCGTTAGGACCACGCCCTCCCCATCCTCCAACTCTGCTGTCCCTCTGACCTTCTCCAGAGACAATGGCTTGGGACATGAGGAGGCTGCTGTAGTGAGGCAGAGTACTCCTGAGTTTTTTCAGAGTTAGTTACTTTGAAAGGGTTTTGACTTTTCCAGGAGGAACCGTGAGGATGTCTGGCCATCATCTTCCAGTTGCAGAGGGCAACAGAGGCTAGGAAAGGTCCAGCCTTGCTGGCTACTCTGCTGTCTGAGGCTCTACAGTGTGGGCACTGCCAAAGAACTGGCCCAAAATGCTTTATTTCCAGATCCACTCCCATCCTCTGAGCCCAAGTCTGCCTTTGACCATATCCCAGGGTCTCTGCACACCAAAAGTGCCAAACTTCTCTCCTCTAGGTGAAGTGACAGACAAATTTTTTAATAACCAATGATTGGGATCAATGTGGGTTTTTTTCTTTGTGTGTGTGTGTGTGTGTGTGTGTGTGTGTGTGTGTGTGTATGTCTGTGTGCATACTGGGATAGAATCCAGAGTTTCCTGCATGCTAGGCAAATGCTCTACCCCTGACCTCATCCTTAGCCCAAGTGATCAGTTTTAATTGAGTTCTACTACTTCATTATTTATACTGACTAATACATGTTGGAACTTGTTGGCACCTGCCAACAGGGGCCCAGGTCCATTAGACCTCAACACTCTGGTGGACACCTCACATTCCAGGTGTTCTTTTGTACCCCCCTCCACTTTTGCTTGCTGAGTGCTAGGATTAAAGGCATGTGAATATCAACATTATTTGGACCTTTAGAGACTTTTAAAAAAAGGTTTATTTATTATGTATACAGTGTTTTGTCTGCATGTATGCCTGCAGGCCAGAAGAGAGCATCAGATCCCACTATAGATGGTTGTGAGCCACCATGTGGTTGCTGGGAATTGAACTCAGGACCTCTGGAAGAGCAGCCAGTATTCTCAACTGCTGAGCCATCTCTCCAACTGGACCTTTGAGACAGGGTTAATAATAACTGCTGTTTGCCCTGTTTTGTGTTTGGCCTGGCAACAAATGCTTAACCCATATTACTGTTGGTGCTCCTCACGTCCCTGGGAGGGAAATGTTGTTATGATCTACTTTATAGCAATGGAGACAGAGGCCAAGAGAAGGAAAGTGTGTTTTCTTGAGGACAGCTGGGATGGATCCTGGCAGTGAGGCACTAGGGCCATTTGGGTTCCCAAACCCTGGGGATCCAGAGGAATTGCCAGGAGCTGTGTTGAGAGCCAGGGGCAGAGCTTGGTGGCTTTCTCTTGTGTCTTCTGCCATTCTGCTTTGCAAACTTAACACAGTGTCTGCACAGACTTCCTGGCTGGCTCTTGTCCCACAAAGATGCAGCCTTGTGAGTGACCTTGGGGTCACTGTGGCTTTGGAACCTCAGCTCTTTCCTACTTGGCCTGAGGGCTCTGGCAATGGGAGGGGGCTCTTGGCTTTTCTTTCATGTCAGATAGAAGGTTGTATTTAGAACAGCATGGGGACCATCACCATGACTGTGGAACCTGAGCTCACTGATGCTCCATCTGAGGTCTCTGGGAATGGAGGATAAGGTAGCTCTTGGCTTATTTTTCATGTAAGATAAACAATAGTGTTTAGAACAGTGTGGGACCGTCACCAGGTCTCAGGAAAATTCCTCCTTATCAGTAAAAACGGATTTAAAAAATTGTATCCAAGGGCCCTTTGCTTCCAACTTGAAGCTCTCTTTAACATTTCTCCTGCAGGCTCTGGGTAACTGAGGTCTTTGGGTCAGGTACTCTACATTCTGAATGTCCTGACTGAAACTGGGGGTTCTGCCAACCACTGGTTCTCCCATATCTGGGGTCCAGGGTGGATTATGTTTCTGGGACTCTGGAAACTGGGTAGTGTCATCCTGGGCTTCATTTGTCTCCAAACAGCAGCCATGTTATTAACAGATAACTCTCCTACTTTGAGGGTGGGGAGACTTGCTGGGCTCACAGAGGTGCACCCTCCGTAGGGTTCCATAGCAAGACCCGGTGTCTTAGCTTCACTTGCCTCTGCTTTGAGACTGGGAGGACAAGGCCACCCTCATCCAGAGACATGAGGGTGGGAGTTTCTGGAGGAAGCTGCTCCAGGAAGGAGGGTGATAGGTAGCAGTGTGAGGAATAGAAGTCTGTTCCTCGGCATTCACTTCACCCTCTTCTCCTGTTCCAGGGTTACCACAGGTCAAACCACTTCATAGCCACTCAAGGTACCTGGCCCCTTAGCCTGTGGCGCCCTCCCATGATCTGGAGTGTCTGCTGCCTGCCTGCCTTCCCTGCTTACCTGCTCAGCACCCCACCTACCTCCCCATCCGTCTTGTCTGTCTATACCCACTGCCTGCCTGGGTCTCTTGTATCTAACTGCAGCCCTTGCCCGCCCTGCCTGTCTGTGCCTCCTGATATGACCAGTTGTAACCTAGCCGTGTGTATCTCTGCAGTGATGCATGTGCTGAGGGCTGGGTCTGTACTCACTGTCATGGAGCATGCCTCGTGGTCCAACTGACCCCCCCCAGGTCCCTCTAGTCTAGTCTCTCTTCTGCTTCCATCTCCTTATCCACCGCTCTGCGAGGTTTGCCCATGGACGGAGAGTCTACCACCCATATGGCTCACTAGGTCTTAGCACACCAGGCTCTCCAGCCGGGCTCTGCCTTGCTACTGCCCATCCCAGGGCCCTGCAGGCATAAAGCTGTGGTTGGTGGGGTATATTGGGATGAGTGAAAAGTCCCCATTGGAATTGGGTCCTGGGAACCTCCCAACAAGGGATGGT